CCCTGACGCGCAGACTCAAACAGAGCTTGACGACGTAGATGTGACGAGAGTGACCCGTCTGTCTTCTAGTGGCTGTGGCATGAGAAATCTGAATCATTCCCTTCTGAAACATGCAGAGGCAGAGAGTGTGAATAGGAGCTGTCCATGAGCTAGGAGAAGGAGACAATTTTGCTAGGTATTCTGATTAATTATTTTGTCATTTTGCCCCCACGTTTCCCCGATTGCGCGCAAGCTTCTTCTCCTGTACATACGGTAATCTCTCTACTGTGCGACAGAGAGTCGCGTGGGTATGACGCAATCGTTAGCTTACTTTCACTAAAACTGCTTCTACGGGGCCATAACATAAGCTACAAGGTAATGGAGCTATTTATACATTGTTGTGTTTCTTTAGAAATAAATAAAGGACAAATGGGGTCTTCAAATGCCTCAGATGTAAAGTTATTCGCTGTCAAAGTGACGCCAAAATGAATGGGAGTCAATGGGAATGCTAACGCAAGTGAAGTTCTGCTACAAGATGTCAGCTCCCGCGAGGCTTCAACTTCCAGTCGATGGATTACCCCCTTGGCGCACTCTCATGTCTTCAAACAACACGAGCAAGCGCTGTCTTGCTCTCTCTCCATCGCGCACATTAATCAAATCATTTGACACGATCGTAAAAGGTTGTAAGACCGCAGTTTCACGTGGAGCATTTGGAGATTTTTAGAGATTAGAGACTCAATGAACAACATCTCAATGCTAAATTATAAAGGCCGTCTCATAGACAACCCAGTGCATTTCGACGATATGGGAAAATTAAAGCCCGGGCTATTATTTCAAGTTTTATGGTATTCGTTTTGTTCATATTACATTTTTACTATTAGTTTGAATTAATTTGACAGACAGCATTCCCTGATGTTGACCAAGCTAGCGCCTGTCAGAGCTGCCAACTCTCAAATTCACCGTGAGACACACAATTGACACTTTTCACACACTCTTACGCCACACATCAATTTTAACTGCTTTTTTTTTCAAGATTTTGATAGCTTATTTTATGTACTTGCCGTTTTTTTTTTATCATTCAAATTTGGCTGGGTGGCTAGTAACACATTTTTCTGTGGTGTGACAAACTCATAACACAGACTTAATTTTGACTTTACAGGGACTTTAAAGGTGCCCTCTGGCATTTAAAATCAAATCATACAACATATTCCATACCAGATGGGGGCAGTATACCTCCAGAAATACCTCCACGGCCACGCACACTCTCATGTCTTCAAACAATACGGGCGAGCGCTGTGTTGCTCTGTCTCCCTCGTGCATATTAATCAAATCAATTGACACGATAGTAAAAGGTTGGAAGACCGCAGTTTCACGTGGAGCATTTGAAGATTTTTACAGATTAGAGACTAAATGAACAACATCTCAATACTAAATTATAAAGGCCGTCTCATAGACAAGTCGGTGCATTTCGACGATATGGGAAAATTAAAGCCCAGGCTATTATTTCTAGTTTTATGATATTCGTTTTGTTCATATTGCATTTTTATCATTAGTTTTAATTAATTTGACAGACAGCATTCCCTGATGTGGACCAAGCTAGCGTCTTTCAGAGCTGCCAACTCTCACAACACTTTTCACACACTCTCACGCCACACATCAATTTTGTCATGCAAAAGGACACGGAGACCGATGTCAGCTCTCAGATTCTGTTCATTTTATTACGCAATTCAAACAATAAATACAGTTTTGGCGCTTTACATAACAGATCCCTAACGCACGTGAACCGATCATCTCTACTAGCTAATGGTAAAAGAACACGAACACTGTTGAAAGATACAGTATGTTACAACTTACCAAAATTTATTCCTCATGCATAATATCGACCAATTATTTTTTGAACTCTTCCCTGAACTGAAATGTAGTAGTGGGCTGTATTTTCCACACGACTGACATCAGGTTCAAGTACACACAACACAAGCCCCGGCGCGAGCGCGACTCACTCGTGTACTGCAGTTTGGCTGGTGGTAACGTTGCTCGCCCGCATACCGCCTCCCATAGACCTTATTCAGAGCAGCGCCATGACAGGTATGAAAGTGAGGCTGTGAGGGATAGTCTTACCGTGTTTCCAATGGCATCCGCTGTAAAAAGCTGAATAAAGCTCCTAGATTACTTACAATTTTCCACAACTTACATTGTCGGGAGTTTTTTGTCACTTTTTTGAGTTTTTTGGAGTTTGTTGCCACTGCGAACAAAATTATTTGGAATTACACATATAAAGTGAACATGGGATGGGGCATAGTGTTCTTTTACATGGAAACTGAGATACATTATACCATGGTCTGGGTGAATACTCGATTCTGATTGGCTGCAGGGTGTCCGTTAAAAAGTGATAGAGGACACTAGTAAAGTAGTTCTGGTGAAACTGCCTGTTTACCATTCGAAATTTCTAAATAAATGCGCTGCCTACAACAGCTGTGAGTAACCATAGCAACAGGCAGTCAAACGCTCTATCAAAACAAACATCTACGTTAGATAGCCTACAGCAATGAGCGACTTCGTTATTTCTTTTAACATTTATGGAGAATATGGCAACTTTGACGACTGGTATGCTGTAGGTCGACTCTCCGATGCTTGACTGGAGAGCCGTCAAATAATGTCGGGGACAGGCCATCGATGCGAGAGCAGTCTGCGGGCTTACTGGGCTCCGTCTCTCCGTGAGAGACCAAGCTGGAGCAACGTACTGCATCAAGTGCCCATCATGGGCAGCAGTAACGTTACCCAGCTTTTGTGGATCCTCCTGACTGGCCGACTTTTTCAAATTGCACTATAAATGGAAACGTTGAAATTAATTGTAAATAAAAAAGCTAGCAATAGCATGTAGGCAAATGACCCTCTCTTTGATCTGATTAATTTCCCAGATAGCAGACTGACATTGAATCAACGTGGAAATATGACATCGAACGTTGATCTGACATTGTTTTGCTCATCGAATTAACGTTGAACCAACGTCAGACGCGTCATTCTTTCAAAACTAACGGAAAATCAACTTGAAATCAACGCGATGTTTCAACGTTATGAAAGCAAACCAATTTTCGATTTTCATTTAGCTTTGAAGAATGCCGCGTCTGACGTTGGTTCAACGTTAATTCGATGAGCAAAATCAACGTTGTTTCAATGTCATGAGAGACGTCGTTTCCACATTGATTCAATGTCAGTTTGCTGTCTGGGTTATTGCCCTCTATCCACAAGTTTCCGAGGGGCGCTCCTGTAAAAAATAAAGTGGGTGAAACTTCCGGTGAGGCGGCGGAAGTAGCATTCCAATGGTATTTTGTATGTTAGTTAGCGAAGAGGCTAGCTGTTTTTCGGAGAATTATTTTACTATTTAAAGACGCAAATCTTTATGAGAGATGTCGTTACGGAGCTCATGGACAACATGTGCTGTTCGCGGTTGTATGTATAACCGGACTAAACTAGTTCAGTGGCTTAAACGTGATTGTTTTGAACATAAGCTGAAAACGAAATCAGAGTGATCCTGCCAACGACTGTAGTTTCCATCACCTCCCAAAAGACGACGAATCTTCCTGTGTACATTTGTTTAAATTCTTAATATTCTATAAACTTTTATCAGCATGTGTTTGGCTGTTCTCTACTGATGTTGCACCTAAACTCAGGATCAAAGCCTGTGTTGACAGAATACCAAATGTGCCAGTTAATGTATTCAAGTAGCACGTTCATTTATAATTTTGAATAAACTCCAAAGCACAATGACTAAGTGTGTATTTTTTATTTTAATTGTTTGTCAGCTCGCACAACTGTCTGTCACCATGCCTTGATGAGTATTGATTATTAATAATGTTATTATAATACTCCCAATCAACTACTGCGGAGGGTAAAGGTACTGTTATTTCACCCTTTTTAATTTCGTTGAGGTTGTGTTCCCACATCGTTAGCTTGGATCGCTATAACTTGAATGACTGTCAACTGTTGAATGAACGAGTGTCAAGCATGTCAAATCGTGCTTTGTTTACTTCCAACCGGAAGTCGCGCCCACTTTTGACGCAAGGCCTCATGGGGCGTAGGAAACTTGTGGATAAGCGCAAATCGCTGGTGCTCAGAACTAATTGTTTTTTTTTTTTTGTGTGTGTGTGTGTGTTTTATTTATTTTTGTTTGATTAATTGTTTTATGTGTAATAAAAAAACTATGCCTACCTTTGTGTTTCATGAAAAAAAAAAATGCATTTTTGAACCTAAGGGTTCTACAAGCTGAGCGGACTATATATCTCCGGTTGCTAAATAAACCGTCAGGCAAGTTATTATTTGTAAAAATTAGATTTAGCCTAATTAAAATATAAACTAATGTTTTATAAATGTTTTATTTGGCAAGTGACCATGGTATAAGCGGGTTAATGCCCTCCGAGGTGTCCATTGTCAGGTTTTAATGGACGACGGCGAGGCGTAAACCGGCCGACGCGCATTAACCCTTACTTAACTGTTTGCTAGCAGTAGCACATCTTAGCATCCTAAATGCCAAGATTTACATGCTCCTTACAAAATGCTCCACTCTTCTCTACAATGTTAATATAGGATTTAAATGGATAATATACTTATACTGACCACATTCCAAAAAGCAGCATTTAATAAAGTGAAGTTCTGCCCTCCCTTTTTTAATTTCTTTTGAAAAATTACTTTATTGAAAATATTTACTAGATAAACAAAGTGTCAATTTAAGAACAAAGCCTTTAAAACATTATGATGATTGCTATGTAATTGACCAAGGCAGTACAAATTATTAAAATTTAATTAATTAAAGTGTCTCTGAATTCTGGAAATGCTTTCTGAAAATTTGGTAGATGCAGTTACAGAGTATTCTGGCAAGTCTTTTTGACTATCCACAATAATTTGTAACTGCAACCTTTTATTTCTGCAAGAAGACCAGACATTTGTAGATCCTACTCCTATTTTTAGATCCTTCTTGTTATCAATAACCAAAGGTATACAGAGAGTTCAAGTGAGTAAGTTCCCACTATTAAGCCTATTTATTATAAAATCAAAATGGAGCTGGTTCTATTTTCTCAGATGCAGTGTTTAGGAAGAGATACAAAAAAAGTGCACAATATTGAAACATCACTTTGTTTTATCATACAGGAGGATCAAAATAATGACATTCTCAAACGTTTAAGCCAATATTGTAAAAAATACAAAAAAGAAGAGGAACAATATTTTCCACTAAGACAACACTACCTGATAGAGATGTGAAGGGGTTTAGGACTCCCTTAGACTGTGTTAGAGAGTATCAAAACTGATGATACAAATGGCTGACAACCCCACTGCTTGGTCTTGAAACGACATGGCACAACTTTTAAGCTGCAAAATGATATGTTGAAAGGCACCACACTTTACAACTTACTCACAGATATTTTGCAACACACTTTTAAACACTGTCACCAAGAAACCTTAAGGCGAATGTCATGTGCAAACTTGAGAAAAATAGATTAAACGTACTACTCTCTACGTAACCCCTCCAATTAAAATGTGCTTTTGTTCTTTTCCGCTTCACTGAAGTTTGTTTCTATATCTTAAATGTATCAAATTTAAAACGAGGATTGCATTAATCATTACATTGGTTATTGTTCACAGGCATTTCCCTGGTCCCCCTCTTCAGACAAGCTTAGAGAGCGAAGGACCCCATTATAAGTTCCTGTAGTTTTTACGACCTTCTCCCTCCTTAATAAAAGTCCATATGAGTGTATTGACGATGTCTGGCTGGTCTTGTTGCAGCCAGTGACTGGCTCCAGAGATGATGTTGAGGCGGAAATGGTTTCTGATGTACAGACGGCAGGCCTCGGCCATGTCCTGCTCCAGGAAGGCATCTCTCTCTCCCCACAGCAGCAATACAGGAGACTTCACCTCACTTTGACTCAGTGGGAGGACACTGCCAAATACAAAAATTAGGACTGTCAATTGATTGTCAAATTAATTACATGATATGATGATTTATTAATCGATAGCATTTTACAAAAGGTATCTTTAACGTTAGTTAATGCATTAATTAACATAAACAACAAACAATATATTTGCTACAGTATTTATTCATATTTTTTAACTGTTCATGTTAGCTCAGGTCCATTATATAATAAAACAAATACTACTTAATGAATGAATAAATGCTGAAATTAACATTAACTAAGATTAATAAATGCTCTAGGTTTTTTTTATTGTTAGTTCATGTTAACTAATGCAGTTATCTAATGTTAAAAAATTAAACCTTATAGTAAAGTGTTACCAATTAAACAGTTCCCAATCAATCTGTCATGGCTGGGCTAGCAATGAAGAGAAGAGGATCTAATGCAACACTTTTAGTTAAACCAAAAACAAAGGAGATAATCAACTCACTAAACAGCAAAGAATAAACAGAGAAAATGTGTGGCAGCATAAACAACATGAGAAAAAGAACAAAACAAAATGAAGACTTTGGCCAAAACGAAGAATTGCAGCATGCGCATTAACCTTGCACACTGTATACAATGATAGGCTCAGTAGCTTCTTGTTTTTCCTTTTTTTTATTCCAATAACTTTATTGAACAATATAAACGTAAATGATCAGGTACAACATATTAAATGTCCTAATCAGACAACTGACAAGATTCATAGCATAAGAAAGAAAATGTAAATAAATAAAGAAGTAAAATAAAGAAATAAAATTAAGAAGAGGCTCAGTAACTTCTGCAGCACAAACACAAGCTTGTAGTCCACAGTTGTTGCTGTTATGTGACGTAGCGGTGTCTGACAAACATTAGGGACTTTAAGCAACAGCTGCTGATAGAACGGCGACGGCAGCCGGAAATAAACAGTTAACTGCCATAGCTAAAGAGCGCAAACATCACTAAGCAACAGTAAAGAGGACGACATAGGGAATAATTTAATCATCAGACAAAATACAAAAAGAAAGTGATTTTAAAAAGAAAGAGAAGGGTTGATTTTAGCACTTAATGATATACAGAAACGATTTCGATGTCACATAATCTAAAACATAACATTAACTGTCTGTCACGTAGTAACGACTACGGCAAATCAGCTGTTCTCCCCTAGTAGACGGTTACAGTAGAACGTCAAGAAGTAGCAGTTAATGTCGCGCATGCGCAATAGAACGCCAGAATGCCGTTGCCGTTCCACCTGAGGCTGTTGCTTAAAGTCCCTATTGTTACGGTCCTTAGGCCTGGGGGTCTGCCCAGGTGTACTGCTGCTTGTTTGTCTTCTGCAGGTCCTGTGTGCACACCTGTCTCCAGTTGGTAATCAGCGGTAGCTGGTACAAAGAGCAAAGAACGGGCCGACTGTTGAGAAATTTGCACCTATAGTAGTAATATCCCCAATGGGCTCTATGCACGGCAGTATTTCCGGTGAAGGTGTAAGGATGCTCGATAACTTCCGCCGATCGTAGAGTCCAATGCAATGCCGAGAATTTATATTGAATTTTATTCTCCATGGTTATACTAAAGAAACGTTAGTCACAAAAACAGACACCCCTCGTTGTGTTTATGCTTCTTTTTAACCTTGGATATTATGATTAATTATATGAATCCCTATACTTGATGATTTCCTTGCAAGAGACCCCCTTTCTAAAATATGAAGGCATCTAGAATATGTATAAAGACCTATTTGTACTATGTGAGAAAAAGTGTGCTATTATGCTAAATTTAAATAATTCACTTTTATATTATTAATGCACTGAAGCCAAAGCAAATATATTTTATATCTTTTTTTCTACGCTCTATAAGATGTATTGCAATGTTTCCATATATCTTCAATTCAGCTAAATATTATTGTTTTTCATACTAAATATCATTCCACATTGAGACTAAAAAGACATTTTATAAATTCTTTATTTTTTTCTCTATAATGTTTCCACAGACTCCCTAGAACCTTGCGGCCTTCTGACAGCCCTAAAAACCCATCGCGGACACACCAGTTAGTTAAAGAGGTAAAGACATGTTAAAGGTTTGGACACCTTAAGCTCCTCTCCTCAGTTCTCTGATATGTACATATTAAGTCTTTCTGGTTTCCGTAGATACTGTTATGTTAGCGGCCTCCTACACACACCCACCTGCGCACCTACACACCCACTCGAACACACAAACACAGTCAGCGCAACTCTGCCCTGAGACATAATCAAAGTGTGCTTCAGGAGCAGATGGAGGGCTCAGTCATGCGTGCACGTCTCACATGTTTCAAACACATGCACTCAGCAAGCAGATTAAAGCAATAGTATTTCCACAAATGTCAGAGGTATATTAAAATGAACTGAAACACCAATTTTGATCGTTTAGTACTCTCAGAGATACACCCAGCAGTTGAGCTGTTGCTGACATGAACTCAATATGAATGAATTTCATTACTACATCAGCAGTGAGTTAATGGCTGCTCATGCACAGTTCAGAGAGCATGAAATCAATCTCTTTCCCTCTTGACAGGGACACATGCACTTATGAAATGAGTTCCCATTCTGCCCACCTAAATCATGATGATACCAATTTCTTTTATGTCTATAACATTTTGAAATAATTATAGAATCTATTCTTTTTTTATAAGCAAGAGAGCAATGATGTTATAGGAATTACTGCTGCAATAGCTGAAGTAAAAATAAAACAACAGATCTTCAAAGTTGCTTAGTAATATATATAAAAACAAAAACAAATGTGCATTTCAGACACTAGAGGGCGACATTTTCTGACAATAACTAAGCACTTTTTTGCACCTTTTTTGCACTTTAAGACACCAACAAACCAGTTAAAGGACATAATTTGATATAGGATTTTTTAAATAAGAAACACAAGTACCTGAAGACATTTCTGAAGTAGTTTAGGGCCCCTGTGAGGGCCCCTGGCTGTGAGAGGGCATACAGGTATGCTTCAAGGTCTTCTGTGGTGAGCCAGCGACCTTTACAACTGATGCCTGTGCTGCGGCTGGTGAAGAGATTCTTCAGCGCCTGTAAATCCACATTAGCAAGGAATGAGAAAGAAGTCACATAATTTGGTCCCAGTTTATATGAGGTGTCTTTAACTACTATGTAGGGTTTGGGTAACAAAACTGAAAGGCCTGGTTTTAGACCACAATAATTTATAAGTTTATTATTATTAATTTTGACAGATGTCCAAATGACAGGTACAAGTCCTGCATAGCGGCCAAAGAGATTTTAAATCATTCCTCTAACAAAACTGGGGGTTGCTACGTGATGCTGTTGGAGGAAAATATTTCCTTACTTGCTCATCCAAAACACACCAAAGTGTTAAAGAACTGATTCATAATGACTGAGCTGTGTGTGTTGAAGACAGATGGATAAACTTGACCTACTGATATACTCTGTATTAGTAATTCTGACAAACAAACCGAAAAGCTGTTCAGTTATGAAGAATCATCCAGAATGATGGGTAATTAAAACAATAGAGATAGCATCAACCCACACTCTAGTAATTTAGCATTTCTATGCTTATAAGCTACATAGTTCCTTATATGAAATTTTCAAATCAGCCCAGAAATTCAGAAGCCATTGTTTGCTGTACATTCATTACATTAGTGAGGTTTATCAGTAAGGTACAGTAAGGTTTATCAAGTACCAAAAGTATAAACACAATTTTTTTTTTTGAGTCACTGAAGGCATTATTTTTTCAAAAACACAGTAAAAATGTTTATATTTTGTTTTAATTATTTAATTATTTAATGTTTTCTAAACTATTCTATTATGTGACACCAAAACTGAATTTCCAGCAGCCATTACTCAGGTCTTCGTGTCACACAATCCTTCAGAAATTATTCTTGAATGCTGATTTGCTGTTTTGACGAGAAATATTTCTCATTATTATCACATTTGAAAATCGGTGTGCTGCTTAATATTTTTTTGGAAACCAAGATACATTTTTTTCAGGATTCTTTGATGAAAGTTCAAGAGAACAGCATTTATTTGACATATTTATTTTTTGTAACAATGTCTTTAGTGTAATTTTAAATCAATTTAATGCATTTGCATTATTTACTGAATAGTATGCTATTAATTTCTTAAATAATGTTTAAAGTATTGTATTCTGTCAAGCTCACCTTGAAATCGTTGATGGAGAGCATTAGCTCTGGAAAATGTGGCAACTGGAAGAAAAAGTAGTAACTTGACTTGAGCATCTGACTGGGGTGACGAAGGGCATAATCTGGACAGAGAAGAGAGAAAATTAAGAAAAAGTACTTGCCTACCAGTTTCGGTTCCCATTTCGACTTAATTGTCCATATAATGGAATTCAATGGAAACCAAAACTGTTTGAATACCAACATTCTTCAAAATATCTTCTTTTGTGTCTTGCAGAAAAGAAAAAAAAAAGTCACAGGTTTGGAACAACATAAGTATGAGTAAATGATGACAGATTTTTCATTGTCTGGTGGACTATCCCTTTAACCCACCATTGTACAGGGTGGCCACAGGGTAGAGACCTGCACTCCCGTGGGACCCGACGCAACAGAGTGTGGTGCGGGACAAGGTTTGATAGGCTGTAGGAGGCAGGGAGACACTTCTGTGTGGGAAGCGGGAAGCGCAGGTACCTCACAAATCCTTTTTGCTTTTTAGTAAGCAAATGAGTCATATATAAAATGACAATGAAATGGTTTTGGGTTTATATTTAAAATAAATGAGTAAAGAGATTTTGTTTGGTCACACAACATCCTGGTAGTCGGCATGGTGCACTGCATGGAGGACACACATTTTTACTCTGGAGAACTACTCTCAGTGAAGCAAATTGCATTGATTTTTCAGCCATCATAAAATACAATTCACTAGTGATAGTTGTCACGGTTGTAGGTGCAGGCAGAAGAGCAGACTGTGTCCAGAATCACGAGGAAGGTACATTTATTAGATAAATACAGGCAGGAAGACGGGGTACACCAAGTAACATCGAACATTGACCGACAAAGACAGACTGAAGGAGGGAGAACTAAATACACAGAAGAATCAAACATAATGAGGTGAAGACAGGTGAAACAGATGAACAGGACGCTGAACGGGAGGCTGATGAGGGAGTGAGTTCAGGTGTGCAGACGAGAGGATCATGGGAAGTGTAGTGCTGGAGACGCGGACAGGATGGTGCAGACGAAGGGCTGTGACAATAGTAGATAAACCTAATTGTAAAACATTTAGAATCTTTTACATTATCTACGTCTTAAAAATATGCTATATAGATAATATCTATAGCTTTTAAGTATTTACATTTCTATTTAATACAAAAAAAGAGCTAGAATCCAATTTTGTTTAATTCTGTCATGTTGCAGGTAGTTTTTATTATCAGTCTTTGATTATTTTTTCCACAGCGTTGTCTCTAGGCAACATACCTTTTGATTTCAGTAATGAGATCCAGTTTATGTAAGTAAATTGAATCAAATGTGCTTCATAACGTGCATTACAGGGTTTAGATGAAAACACTCCATTTAGAGGAGATACATTTCGAAAGAACAAGAAAATCAAAAGGTGTATTCGCGTATGTGTCACTCTAGGCAGGTACTGAGTGTTATGATAGGAAGAACCCATGTCTCTGCCAAAAGCCAGCCTGTAATTACCTCCTCCTCCAGGCTGGAGTGCACAAGACAGATGGAGGGCAAAGCCCCATGATTCCCAGGGCAAAACCACAATATTTCATTGTGAATGATGCAGGTCATACTAATGAGCCCTTAAAACAAAGCAGAGGCTCTGGAACCGACATATTTGTACAGGAAGTCTGTTTGTCAGGTGTATAGGGCTCTTACCAGTGAACACACAGGGGTGAGGACTGTTCAGCACTATGAGTTTAGTCACCATTTCAGGGTAGTGAATTGCACAGAGCCATGCGATGATGCCACCCCAGTCATGCCCCACGAGAAAACATCTGTTGTATCCTGAGGAGAGGATCAGAAGGAGGTAGCTGACATGTTTGTGTTTGTTGTATATGTATGCCTCATAATTAATAGGAAAAGTGAGAGACAAGATGGGAAATTATAGCGAAAACAGGGGGAATAGGATTGAGAAATGACTCAAACCAAACTCAAACTCATATTTTTCCAAATAAACACCATATCCATTTTATTGTGAAATATATTATAATTTGTATTCAGTAGTATTTCATATATTTTCATGACATGGTTAGAAAAAGACATGCTTTTGCTGCCATTAAGCATTGAACCATGGCTTATTAACAGGATCAGGAAATTATAAGCTAAACTCGAACTCATATTTTCCAGTTGAGCACCCTAGGAGCATGATGTCTGACCACTAGGCCACAGTTCCGACCTAAAATGTTGTCCTCTAATTTGAAAGCTCAAAATGATGTAAAAAAAACAAACAAACAAAAAAACATAAGGAATTCGTTCCTGCATCTTATTAATTCATGCACAATTGTATTATTAATTTGTTTCATTGTTTTAGCTAAAACATGGTTAAGTTTGAAAACAATGTGGCCACGATTGACCTGAAAAGAGGGAACAAATTATTAAAACACAAATTACTTTTTACCCACATGTCATATGGGGCTCCATAATTTTGAACTTAAAAATAAAATATTTTAATTTACATTTAGCATTAAATTTTAAGTGTGACCTGTGGCTTAGTGCTTAGACACATTGAACAATGGTGCTCATTTGGACTATAGTTTTGGTTTGTGTAATAGACCTTTCTCACAATAACCGGAAATACGTAATCGATGTGGAAGCAGAGTTCCTGTAAACCGTCAACACATCAGAAAAACATACCCGGGGAAGAGAAAATTGATCAGAGAGTCTTAGAGACTTGGTCTTAGAGTCAGAGAGACTTATCATAGTCCAGTTGTTGATGATTTTGTAAAATGCTGTGGTGATGCTTGTATGCAGCTGAATGTATTGTATGCAGCTGAAATTATTGTAAAATATATATATATATATATATATATAAAAAAAGTGTGAAATGTCATGAGATCAGACATAAAACAATAGTGGGTTTAACATCAAAATGTATTGTCTGATGCTAAAAAGTATGTTTTTATAATGTAACCTTCTCCACCTTGGTCAGTTTAAGGATAATTCATGCAGTTTTATAGTATTTATTTGAAAGAATTCAAACAGATTCATGTCTATCCTTGTATTATTCAGCTGGTTGAGATTGATATGGGATTTTGAAAGTAATTGAAAGTAATACTTTCAATAGAGAGAGTAATTAGTACAGTAATCTAATTACACTGTTGAAGAGGTAATTAGTAACTAGTAATTAATTACTTTTTTAGAGTAACTTACCCAACACTGATCATAATACATAAATAATAAACATAAACAATGACGGGTTAGTGAATGGTGTCATGAGAAGTACAAAAGATCACAGGATCAATATCATCCCGCCGGATAGCCTGAATCCATTTCCGTCGAACTTCATCAACAGGGAACTGACGAGGGAAGGAATGAAATTGACAGATATGGCTGCTTTTGGAAATAACAAAAAAGACCAGTGCGCGATCTGTTCTGACCGGAGCGGAAGACGATTATTACCATGACAATTGCGTATTTCCGCTCACAAATACGGAAGTTGTGAGAAAGGTCTATTTGTCGTGGACAAATTCTTAAATCATAGCCACAATATCTTGTGTCCCCTTCTCTGCATGCATCTAACGTGCAGAGATCTGTAGATTCAAATATAAATGAAATCAATGAAATTAATTACAATCTAAAAATCAAGAACTATTTCTTCTTTTTAATGTAACAGTATATATAAAAAAATAATGTTATGTTGGGCCTAATGTTTTACTTAGCAATACCGTTTACACTGTCCTCTTTTTGCAAAAATATCACGTTGCAGTTCATTTAGTGTCATATCAAGGACTGACTAAGGATGAATGACACCATTGCTGTGAGCCAGGGTGGAAGTTTCCACCGTCTGCAATAATGATTCCAATGTCAAGGAGCTGAGACCCTGGAGCAAGACATTATCATGAATCCTAATAACGTGTCGTTGACGGCCTGTCACAATACACCACCAGTCGCTTACACACATGCCACTGTGTGCAAGCAGACAGATGAATTTAACTTTGACATGGTATACTATTCAGTGTTTCTCCACAATTGTACTTGAGTCACACTGTAATGTAGCTCAACTAGTAATTCTGTATTTAAAATCTAGAGACAGTTAATTAGACTTCATGTTAAGCTGCCTAAACTGACAATACGCATCTAAAAAGCCAAGGACATCTGTGAACGGGTCACCTTCACATTACAGAGTGTTGGGAAGAGAGCTACATTAGCATTCACCACTACAACAGCCTTATCAAAACCTCTAGACAGGTTGGAATGTGAAATGGAAATAGGGCTGAGATAATGGAGGCAGTCTGTTCTTACCCAGATACTCCACAATGTCCTTGATGTCTGTGACAAGGTAGTCCAGTCGGTAGCTCTCAGCGGAGGAGGGCAGGTCAGACTCCCCGTAGCCTCGCATATCCACGGCAACGACACGGAACTCGCTCTTAAATTCCCTCAGCTGGTGACGCCAGGAGAACCTGGAGAAACCAGGGGTACATTTTTTTTATGTTTTGTATGATTTCTACAGGTTACACAAGTATACAGTTGATTGCTGTTACTTTAGATCAAGAGGTTGAGATGTCTGAGAACAGTGACACTCACTCTCTCTTTTGTACTTTCTTTCTTTTTTTGATCAATACAAATAAATAAAAAAAATAAGATGGTATAGAACAGGGATTTTCAAAGTGGATCCCAGGGAGTCACAATGGGAAAAAGGTTAAAAAAAATGGAAAATAGAATGAATGAATTTCATATTTCATTTTATTCAAAATGAAACATCTGGGGTCAGAATAAAAAAAATAGTACTTTTATTTTATACAAGGATGCACTATATTGATTTTAAAATGACAGTAAAAACATAATATTTAATGTTTAAAAACAAATAACACATTTTGAAAACAGTATCAGTTTACACAAAAAAGCGACACAGCATCAATAATACTAAGAATTGTTTCTTCAGCAGCAAATCAGTATATTAGAATAATTTCTGAAGGATCATGTGACACATGATCCTCCAGAAATTATTCTAATATATGAAGCAATGAGGCTAAAAATTCAGCTTTCCTTCACAGATTTTTTAAAAATATTTAAAATTTACAGTTACAGTTACTTAAATAATTATATTTTACAATATTACAGTTTTTACTGTATATTTGGTTTGCATAAGATGCGTTTTTACTTTTATTTTTAACTTTAAAACAGCTGCAAATTTAACAGGTCTCTAATTAAAAAAAAATACAGTGTTAAAGGATTAGTTCACTTTAAAAAAAACTTTTGCTGATAATTTACTCACCGCCATGTCATCCAAGATGTCCATGTCTTTCTTTTTTCAGTCGAAAAGAAATTACGTTTTTTGATTAAACCATTTCAGGATTTACTTCATATAATGGACTTCAATGGGAACCAAACGGTTCAAGGTCCAAATGAGAGTTTCGGTGCAGCTTCAAAGAGCTTTAACCCCTTAACTGTCACCCCCCCTTTTTGAGAATGGGGGTTAAATGCTCTATTCACACTTAAATGGTTGTAATTTAAGAATGCCTTGGAATATATACCCAAGTTTGGTCTTGTTTTAAAGAAAACACTCAGCAGATTATTGCTGAAGTGAAAACACTTCAAAAAATGAAAGTATGAAGAAGTTATGGAAGTTTTAATTCACAGTAAATCAAATATACTGTACTATATATTTTTTATTTTATATAAAATATATATTTTACAAAATATTTTACTCTAAAATTATTATAAAATGAAAGCCATAAATCTAACCAAGTTATGTTCCAAATTTGAAGTTGATATCACAAAAATTGAAGTTCCTATGAGATTTTGTTTAGGCGTAGTACCAAAAATAGCCACCGGGTGCCATTGAATTCCATTGAATTTAGTTGTGTACATTCTGCCTTAACAAATTAATACATTTCTGTCCAAATATCAATTTTGTCACAAAATTTGGAACATTCAGACTCAGACCTTTCTGACAATATGTGTTTTGTCAAGATTAATTAATTTTGATCATAAATTATGAAAAATAAGGATGCCCAAAAGGGGAGGAGCCTCATAAAATAAGTACCGTTTCTATGGTAACGCAACGTTCAATTATAAAATGGTTTTCACAGGATGAATTCTGAGTGTATAAGCTTTCAAATGATACCTAATTTATGATAACTACTAAAATGTGTGATATAATAAAAAAGGCGATAAAAATATTATTATATTTTAGAGGATAATATATACATATATATTATCATTTTTAGAGGATAATTTTATACTATACTTTTTATTTTTTATTGAAAAATACTAGATTATATGTTTTATTATGAACTTTTAGCATAAAAACAGAAGTTTCAATTATTAAAAGTGGGTGCATCAACTTTTTGTGACAAAGGTCAGACCTCCTGTTATGATGCAGATTTTCTTAGGTGCACTCTTGTCATAAATTCATTAATTACTCTTCCTACATAATTTTTAACACAAAACAGGCGTCAAATATTTAATTAGAAGTCTTAGACCTTTCCAAAAATATATAATTTGTCATAATTAGATTAGGATTTAATAGAAATATAGTGAAGTAAAGTTAGGCGTCCCGGTACCGGGACGGTGACAGTTAAGGGGTTAAACGACACCAGACGATGAATAAGGCTCTTATCTAGCAAAACGATCGGTCATTTAAAAAATAACTAAAAAAAGTTTAAGTTTTATAAGCACAAATGCTCGACTTGTTCTGTTCTGTGATGAGCACTCGTGGCTCTCCTGTTCGAACTCGTTCATCAAAATTAACGAAACTTTTTTTGAGTCATGACTCGAAGGGTCCTAGATAAGACCCTTATTCATCGTCTGGTGTCGTTTAAAGGCCTTTGAAGCTGCACTGGTTCCCAATGAAGTCCATTATATGGAGAAAATCCTGGAATGTTTTCATCAAAAACCTTAATTTCTTTTCGACTGAAGAAAGAAAGACATGGGGGTGAGTAAATTGTCATGAATGACATGGGGGGTGAGTAAGTTTTTTTAAAAAGTGAACTACTCCTTTAACCTAATAAGAAATACATATTTTTACTCCTTGACAACACAAGAGAAACAGGAAAACAACAATGGAACACAGGAAACTTTTCCATGAAAACCAAGGACAAACACAAGGGTATAGCCTATTTGTAACAGGTGGTAGGGAACGACTTTACAAGACTGACCAAATTTAGACCCGACTGACCAATTTCTGCCACGCTTTTTAAAACGAACAGTAATATTCCAAAATTAAAATGATGCGTGTTGAAATCCACTTGGGGCAAAAATTAGAAGGAGCAGAGGCTATAGCACTTTAACTGAAATGGCTTGTTAAAATCAAATTTATGGAGTGAAAGTTCGTTTGACTTACTCAAGATTTTTTTGATTTGTATAAGTACATTCTGCCAAACTGGCAGCACTCCCTAATGTTATTTGTGTCTTAAAGATGAAGAAGAACGAGTGTGAGAGAGAGAAAGTTGAGGAAAAGCAGAAGGAAGCATATATTATTCTGATGAGTCAGGAGAGAAGAGGCTCGACCCAAACCCAATTATCGCGCGCACACACACACACACACACACACACACACACACTATAACCTCAAAACTTCCCTATTGCTCAGAAGTGAGGGAAATCTTTGACTTGCAATTTTGAATGCAGAAAACTAAAGTGGAGCAGAAGTCAGAAAAAGGCCGTCCTCCAGGTCTCCTCTACTCGTCCAAGAGTTCATCACTGATTCTGGAGCAGTAGAATGGCTAGTGAAGCAGAAAGGAGCCATGCCACATTAATTTGGCACTCTGCTGTCCTGATCGCAGTACTGCTGTCTGGCAGTTCACTGAAACGACAGCTTCCCTGGTCCCAAAAAGTCTGAATGTCACGACACTCCATATCACAATATATGCAGTAATACAATATATCAGCCGTTTTACATTTCATACCAATAGTACAGCACACCTCGGAATCTCAAGAGAATATTAATAGCTTTAGGTTGAGATTTTTAGACATTGTGTCTTAAAAAGAGATAAGTATGTGTTTAAAGTAGGGCTGTCAAACGATTAATCTCGATTAATCGCATTCAAAATAAAAGTTTGTGTTTACATAATATATGTTGGTGCACTGTGTATAATTATTTTATATATATAAAACACACACATGCTTGTATATATTTAAGAAATATTTTCATGTATATACTCTATATAGATTTATATATAATTTATCATATATATAAATATAAATATTTTAAATATAAATAATATTTTTTTCTTAAATATACATGCATGTGTGTGTATTTATATATATATATACAAAATAATTATACACAGTACACCCACACATATATTATAAACACAAACTTTTATTTTGGATGCGATTAATCGCGATTAATCGTTTGACAGCCCTAGTTTAAAGGCAAGGTTTGTGTCTCAGATATTATCTCTGACTCAATGACTGAATCCACAACAACATATTTCCGATCTGTGTCTGGCAGCATCCCAGTAGAGAAGTGTTTCCCATGTGTGTGTGTGCGAGTGTGTTTTGAGTCTCACCAAAACTCAGGGAATCCATGCAGAAACAGCATAAGTGGCTTTCCTCGTTCCCCGGCAGCAACATAGTGAAATCTGAGCCCAGACTCCTAAAACCACACAGACCACAGGCAGTTAAACTTCGTTCAAGGAGGATTTCATAAAAGCTTCCGCTTTCATTAATCACTCAGGCCTGTCCATCCTGATGTAAAATCCATTCTCACATTACTCTCTGCTTTATAGAGCCATAAAATGTATCAGCAGAGAGGGTGTGTTGTCCACAGGCTTCAGCTAATATTAAAGCAAT